CATTAATTGGCAAATTAGCCTTGGAAAATTAAATATATGTGCGATAAAATAAGAAGCCTAGATGGAAAAATTTATCCTCATGAGCATAATGTGGTCTTAGTTTATCTTCCGGAAGAACCTGATAAAGAAGACTGAAAAATCTTAAAAAAAACATTTCCAGGAGAAAATGTTAGATATATTGTAGATAAAGAAGAACAAATAATTAAAAAACTAGTTGACGAGGTTAAAGTTGATCTAGAAATTGCAAAAGAAGAATTAAAAGAAAAGTTTAGAACCAATATATGAACCAAATAAATACCTTAATAAACAAGAAAATTATTTTAGAAATAGAAACGCCCGACAAACACGAAACTGCAAAGAAAATTAACGAGTTTTTGGTTAAACAAAAGGAAACAATGGGTTATTCATGGATTAAAATTTAACTAATGCTTAAAGAAATATTAAATCAAGAAAAAGAGGCTCGCCAATTCGCCCAGTGAATAACGGCCAATAGTTCTCAAGTAATTAGCCAAGAAATCGAAGTAGATAAAAAAAGCCTCACAGTTACGGGATTATTAACTGATAAACTTCCTTTTTTCTTATTAGAAGCAGTGCGAATTTTAGATCAGCATTGATGGATTTCGTGATATGTTTTTGATGACTTAAAAAGTCAAATAAAAGAAGATTATCAAAAGCTAGATACTAAAGCACAAAAGTTATTTCAATTAAAATTAAAAAATTTTAAAGCCGAGCAAGCCCAAGATTTAGCAAATAAACTGCAATCTTAATCAAGGATGCAAAAATTATGAAATGTGCAAGGTGCTTTAAGCCTTTAGAAGAGGAGGTTGCTAATAATTTAAAAGTAATTGCTGAAGAAATTAAAAAAGAATTAATTTATTGAGGAATAATAAGCTCCGAGCTAAAAAAATTAGAAGTAAAAATATTTTGTCCTCCATGTACTGGAGGAAAAAAAGCCTAATCCAAATTATAGACCACTCCGGTAATGTGTATCCTTGAAAAACAATGCCTAAAAAAATTTACAACACAGAAGAAAAAATAGAATATTGAGAGCAATGCTTAAAAAAAATTAAAACTAACCATGAATAATTTAGAAAACCCTTGTATTTTGGGGAGAACCAGCCATAGTTGAAAAACTTTAAACTGGTCAGTTGAAAATACTCCTAATTATTATGGAATAACCCAGTGCCAATTTTGCTTTTTAGAAAAAGTCGAACCAATTAAATATCAAGTTAAAAAAGCAACTTATACTCTAGGGCAAACTTGCCAATTATGTGAAAAAGTATTCTTGGAAAGAACTTGATTTTATCGTTTAACTGACCAAATTAGCCAGGAGCAGTGAATTATCTGTGAAACTTGTTGCAGAAAATATCAGTAAATTTAGTGTTTAGATTAGTGTTAGACAGGACTTAACTAGAAACTAGTGAGATAAAAATGTATAGTATATGAGTAGACCAAAATTAAATAAAGAACAATTTTTAGCCAAAATGGCAGAAGGACGTGAAGCAAAAAAATATGTCCAACAAATAATTAAAGAGCATGGCCATAAAACCGAAGAATTTAACACCCAAGGATTATGACAGAAAGCCATAGCCGACCAACTAAAAGAAAAATCTTTAACTTTTGTGGGGAGTGTCCTAAGATACCTAGATAAGGAAAAGATGAGCGTCTTTTCTCGTTGATTGCTAGAACATTTAGAAGCATTTTTATTAGAGCAATATAAGCAGGCTGATGAAGTTGCTAAAGGAGCTTTTAAGAAAAAAATGGAAGAAATATTCCCAGAACACGAAATAACTAAAAAATTAGTCTAATAATTAGTGTTAGACAAGTGTTTACAAGGAAAAAAAAGGATTGCAATAGAGATAAAATGTTTATAATATGAACGATAATAATGTTAAAGACGAATTAAGTATGACCAATGAACTTCCTGAAACTGACATGAGCAACAGCGGAGCACAAGAGATGGCCGAATTTGCTGAAAAAGCTCGAGTTGCAATAGAAAAGGTAGAAAAAGAACGCAATGAGTATCGTCGCCTTTTTGCTCAAGCCAATGGGGAAGTATTAAAGAAAAACGAAGAAATCCGTTATTTAAAAGACCGAGTGGCGAACAAAGAAGCAGAAAGTTTACGACAAACTACTATGGCTCGCGAAAAAATGAATGTTCAATTACAAAAAGATGCTAATATGCGAGAATTAGGTAATTTATTAGATGGATCTTTTAATAACTTTATAGAAGCAAGAAGAAATCGTTAAGTCAAAGAATTTTCACCAAAATTAGAAAGGGCAAAACATGAGACGACTTAACATCAATGGGACTTTAGCTCGGGGCTATGAAGAAGAAGCAGGAGGAGAAAATTGCTTTAATTGTAATCAAACCATAGAAGGAAGCTGCTACATTGCTTTTGACGGGCCTGGAAATAAACTTGGATTTGTTTGCCAACAATGTACACAAAGTTTAGAATCAGAACTGACGGAAGAGGAATGAGATAGGGCTTGATTTGGTGAAAAATAATCAAAGAATTTATGCCAAAAAATTCGAGACTAGAAAAAAATGAGAAATTAACTTAATTATCA